TGCTCAGTTGTAACAAGAGACATAAAATGCTTGGTGTCTCTATAGAGACTTTACTTTAATGTCCTACCCAAGTTGTGTGAGAGGTTGGTTTTTTTTGTTTTTTGTTTTTTTTTTAAATCAAGGTGCAAGGTACAGGACCCTCTAATTGCTGAGTGTAGGATTATTTGCAGTCAACACAGAGGCTGAAACAGTCAATCATTTAATTAGAGCTCTGACATTTCTTAAGTTATTGTAGTATTGATTGGTGTTTACCTTTTAGCTTGGCATCTTTTTTTTAATATTTCTCTAGTGAACTTACTTTGATAAATGTGCTAGTCATCTTTTAACTACAATTGTTCTTGGATACATAGAACGATATCAAAAGCTGTTTATCAGAGTCATGCTACAGCTGCTGGAGACAATTGACAGAGGGCAGGTTTAGCCCAGATACGGGGAAAAAATTCTTCCCTGTGAGGGAGATGAGGCTCTGGCCCAGGGTGCCCAGAGCAGCTGCGGCTGCCCCAGGATCCCTGGAAGCCTCCAGGGCCAGGCTGGATGGGCTTGGAACAACCTGGGATAGTGGGAGGTGTCCCAGCCCAGGGCAGGGGCTTGGAATGAGATGGGCTTTAAAATCCCTTCCAACCCAAACCATTCGGTCATTGTGGGATATACAAAGAAAATCATACTAGTAGACTGGAGGGGTTTTTTTTCGTTTTTTTCCTCCTAGGATTGTTCAATGTCTAATTAGGAACAAACTCATCCCATGAAACAAAACATATGCTTAACTTCTGGCCACAGACCTTTAAATATGGGAATATTGACCTAAGTACTAGAAGACATTAGATGATCACTTAAGTAGTTCTGCCCATATCTTCGTTATACTCCACTGATCAGTGCAGCTATCAGCTAAACATTTGTGGGCCTTCAGAAGTATCAATAAAGTGAAAATAAAACCTTTCTCAGAGTATCTATATAGTCCTTCAAGATCAGAACTCAGAGAAGTCTGGAGCTTAGGGAATTCCTGCAGTCTTTGTTGCCACTGGCAACTGCTGGCATGTACGCACAGAGGCTTGGCTGGAGACTGGTTCCTGAGTCCTGCAAGGCCGTGCAGATGTTGTGGTTTGCACCTGTGTGCCCTGGGGTGCAGAACGGCCTGCAGTGCCTGGGAATGTCACAATCCCTGCTGCTAGAAATTAACTCCATCAAAACCAGTGGTGATATGGCCATGTGTTTCGACTGAGAATCTGCCTGTACGTGTGTCCTGGGTTAAATGGAAATCCAGCAGGAAAGATTTTCTGCACATGTGGTTTTTGAAACATTCAACTAATGTTGTTTGCCAGTGCGTGAAATAGATGGGCCTGTATTATTTGCAGTAGCCAGCATTTATCTTCAGGCTATCCAGTGTTAATTAAAAATACTTTCACTCAGTGGAATATTAATAACACTGTGACTTAGTGCTTGTAAAATGTTTCACATGTTAAAAATGCACTGAAATAGGAACTGGATATTGCTTTTAGGATCTTCACAAGGGAGCCGTATAGCTCATAGTTATAACATATATTTTACAGGAAAAAACAGTAGATGAGTGCAGGATAACTGAAAGGCTCAACTGCCTGATTTTTAAAATCCAGACCCAGAATAATATGCATAATTTTCCTGGCCCTTTTCCTAATTCAGTCGCTGTACAAAGAAGGAACTGTTTCAGGATAGGCGTGCTTGTTTTGAAGTACAGCAGTCACCAGAAGGATTTAATTGTCAAGCAGATGCAGAGTATTCTAAGTTCAGACGTGTGGGTTCCATGGCCGGGGAGTGAGACAGCTGCGCGCTGCCGAGTGTGGAGGTGCTCAGGTCCCCTTTGGTTTCACTGTGCCAGCATTTCAATGGACACTTGTCAAACGTTACATCTGCTATTCGTGGTTGTCCAAGAGTGCAATCCGGTGTAGCTCTCGGGCTGTTCGTGTCAGGCGCAGGTGGAGTCCGAGTCTGCGGGGGAGCGCGCACCCACAGAGGACTGCAGCTCCCGGGGGTGTTACGGACAGGAGCGGGAGAAGGCGGCTTGAGGCCACCGGTGTTTGAGTGTTGTCCTAGGGTGAGGTTATGATGCTTGTATCCCCAGTCGTGTGTTCTGTTGGTGCTGGATGTTATGTACTGTGCCTTCAAGACTGGCTCTGAGAGCAAGGTTTGTTTTGGTTGGTTATCAGCCTGCTCCCCCACGGCTGGCGGGACAGAGAGATGGGGCAGTACACAGTGCGGCTTTGGCTTTTGGCTTGGCTTTTTGCTGCTTGCTTTGCTCTTGCTCCTGCTTCGCTCCCGCTCTGCTTTTGCTTTTTGCTTCTGTTAGTTAGTTTAGCTAAGCGGTCCAGATTTTTCCCTGGGCTGTTTTTCCGTTCCCTTTTTGGAACCATCCAAACCTGCTCCAGACTGGGACCTGGGAAACACCAAGAGTTTACATCTTGTGGCTGCAGCAGCCATCCCCAGTGACAGAGGGAGCAATAACGGAGCGACCACTCCCAGGAAAGACTTTCTGAATTTGTCATCCTTTTCAGATCGGTGAAAGTGTTGTCATCTGGTATTGTTCATTTTGTGTGCTGGGGGTGTTTTGCCTGTTAAATAAACAGGTTCTTTCCACTTCTCTCCGAGGAATCCTTCCCGAACCGGTGGGGGAAAGGGGCTGTGTGGGTTTGTTTTCTGGGGGGAGCCCCTTTGGAGGTTTTCTCCCAAATTTGCCCTAATCCAGGACAAGTGTTCCCACAGGAGACTTTGTAGCCAGCTGTTCCCCTGACTGAAAAAGACTGCCCGTGGTTTAGAAGTCTTTGTCAATAGGATTTATCCAAGCAGTAGTGTGGGGTTTTTGATATTTAAGTTTCTTTAAGGAAGAATGAGAGTCTGCAGTTATGAGGTTACTTGCAGTCTGGACCTGTCCATATTCTACAGCCTGAAGCTGCATTTACACTGCATTTGTGGTGTATTTTATTTCTTAGGGAAAACATGAGGTGAAGAATAACTTCATCTATAGTTAGATTTGCTTTCTAAACATTGACTATTATGTTAAGAATTTGAAAATAAAGTATTTTTATCTTGTTCACTGTTCAATATTTTATGCCACTTGCTGCCTGAGGTTATTTCAGAATAGCTGCTTCAAAGATTTAGGTTAGCTGAAAGCCAGTTGTATCATTACTGGCCACCTTTGAAGTTACAGATTACCAGGGAATTTGAAAAATATCCCAGTATTTTACAATTATTTTGTCTTTCTAGAAAAATAGGCTCTAAATATAAAACTTTCAAGGGATACGCCACTGCGTTTTGTAGTCTGAAAATGCATAGGCATAAGCTGAGTTGTATCCAATGAGTTTTTCCTGGCCCTGTTTACCTGGCAGTTCAGAAGGGATAATTTTGTTGTCAAGGTTGACAAGAGCTTGCAAAGCATAATAGAGGAGTCATTGTTTATTTTGGTTCCTATGCAAGCCTTGGTACAAGAAATGATGGCATTGCTGTGGAACAAAAGTGAGTATCCACCTCCAGGGATTCCTTGAAGGTTTTAAGGTCTTTCTCCAAGACCTGGTTTTGGTCATCTGTTCCCTGCAAAGACTATAGCCAGTTTCAGAGATAGAAGGTCATAGGAGATTTTCTAAATCTCTCTGAAAATACTAGCTCAGTTTTTAAAGTAGTTTGTCCTTTCAGTTGATACAGAATGTGCTAATAATTTCGAGGCATTTATGACATTGCACCTTCAATTTTAATGTAAGAGTTCTTTTCTTTCCACCTCTAGTCTTAGTTTTAATATTAAGCATATTGTCCTGTTCACAGGTTTCTTTAGTAAGGAAATAACTCTGATTGAAGTATGATACATAGATAATAAGCTTATACTCCTGGGTGTCTACCATGATATTACTACTTCCATATTAATGGTAATGTTATTTATAAAATGACACAGTCATGTTCATAATAAAGACTTCTGGTGTTTGGTAAATGCTGTGGTCATTGTACATAACTACTGCTTAGCATTTAGGAGAGCCTGGTTCTTAGTGCTGTAAATGTCATGTGTGCTGGCTTTGTGTAAAGCACCACTATTTGTGCTTCTTTCCTCTAGGCCAGGGCAGTCCAAGGTAGTCAGCAATGATTGCTTGCTTTAGGCAAACAAAGTTCATCACACATTTTGTATTTTCATGTTGTTTCTGTACTAACAGGAAAAAAAATCCAAACCAGCTAGTAGGCACAGAAGTATTATGGTAATATTGTAGGGGAAAAAAAGCTGAGTGAAGCATACTCTTCAAATAAATAGAAACACTTTGCTTATAGGTGGAAATAAAAAAAATTAAAATTGTTTAGAAAATAAAACTGATTCTCTTCAGGCCCCTCAAATATCTCAAGAGCTCAGTCTTCTAGGTGCTGAGGATGAATGTGCTATGGAATGAAGAGATTGCCCTTTCATGGACAGTGTTTGCTTTGCAACATTTTAAAATTCACCCATTCTGTTTTACAGAAGGAAAATGAACACTACAGACAAAAGCATAACCACGCTGCATTGTGGGCCCCTGAATTTATGCATTGTTTGTAGAGAGAGAACATTATTTTTCACATTAATAGGGTACTAGGCAACCCAATTATGAATAGGCAATCCTGTTTCACATGAATAGGATTGCCATAAATATTACTGTTGTCATTGTTGTTATTACTATTATTAATCATCATCATCACCATCATCATCACTGTCATCATAATTCTATTAGTGTTGTTGATTACACTGGGAGTATTACAGCAATTCAGAAGTTAAGAAGTGTTTCTTTTGTTCCTGTATACTGCTTCTAAAGCATGTGTTTTGATTCAGCAAATTATGCTTAACATCACAGATTGGCATTCTGTGAACATTGTGGTACTGGCTCTTGAAATGTATGAAAAATTTGAAAAGTCCTTCAGCATGTATGCTTTAGCAAATGGTCTGATGCACTGGGGACACAAAAGATGTGCTTGCTGAGGGATCCCAGACAGCCACTGATTGTTTTGTGTCCCCTTGATTGCAGACTGACAAGGCAGAGAGAAGCAATGCCCTGAATGTTGCCATAGACAGTATGTGCAAGAAGACCAGAGACCTCCGCAGACAGGTGAGACCTGGGCAAATGAAAGGTACAAAAAGGTCTTGAGGGTTTCTTTTCCAATTTGCTGTTTTCAGTTTATGCATTTTGAAAATAGTATTTTCTTTTCCATAATAAAAATATATTGAAGACAATTGCACCATTCCACAGAATATTTACATACCAGTTTTCAAAACTCTGGAATGATACTGGCTGAATATATGTATGTACGTATGCATGTCTGAATATATTTGCTGCATGTATCAGTAATGTACTCTAGCCATCAAGATTTGTTTAAATTTCAGTAAGCTTGAATCATTACTGGTTGTTGGAACAGACACCTTGAAGGAACTACTTGAAGTCACTATGTGTGGCTCTTTACAGCTGTGAGAACTCTTACCACACAGGAGGGTCCTTGGAATGCCCTGTCCACACTCTACCCCCCACTTTACATCCCAGTGTGCTAAAACTAATCTGAGACATGGACCAGAATCCACAACTTCAGTGAAGGGCAGAAGGTTAGCAGTAGACATCAGCTGTGTTTATACCCTTTCTCTGTAATAAATATCTTTGAGAAAAAACTGCAGATTATGCTGCATGTGTATAATGTGCCTTTTCAGAAAGAAAACCTAAAAAGTCAGTAGTTCTTTTAGCCAGGCTGCCCCAGCCAAGTTTATGTAAATTTACAGCTACAAAGAACTTGAGCACACCTCTTTCATCCTGTCTCCAGCTTGGGCTGTTGATCAACTCCCTGGTGGAAGAGTGTCCCTCCCAACAGTGTTCAGTCTTGCAAGCCAGCTTGTGCTTCAAGATGAGGAATAAATTCCTTCCTGCTCCCATAACCAGCCAAGGGAAGCCATGAAAAATGAGAAGAATATAATATAAATACAGTGTTTACAACTAAGTAGCTGTCCAGTTTCTGCTTACATTCTGTCCAGAATGGGTTCAGTGCAAGGGACCTGCATCACCAGCTCAGTGTGTCTAGGAACCCTTCCATTCATTTCCTTCCATGAGTTAATTAAACTCCAGCTTAAAACATTTTATTGACTCTGTTACAGTGGTTAAAAGCTGTTAACTGATTCAATTTGTGTCTTTCTGTAAACCTTTGGAAAGTGTTCAGGCTGAATGTAATCATGCCCAATTTATAGTCAATCTAGAACCAGTAATTTCCTCTTACCAGAACAGCTCTGTGCTTCTTGACATTTTTTCCACTGGAAAGCATTTATGAGAAATATTTTATATCTTTCCTCCAACTCTATGTTCATACATATGAATTGCATAAGAATTGTTTTAGGAAGAGTGCTTACTGTGTGCCTAATTCCTGTTCTGGGAGACATGAAATTGTGAATTTTGTGCCTGCAGATATTGCAGTAGGGTCTTATTTGCCTTCACTTACAAACATTCATTACTCAGTCTCCCAGCAATTCTACAAGAAACACGAAAATTGTTGTTTGCTCTGCTCTAACAGCTTTTATAATATTGTATTTTTTAATGATACTGTGAAGCTTTGCTGCTATTGCATCAGGCGCTCTCAGTGCATTCAGGGCTGTGCTCTGCAGTGTATTCTGCTTTCAGTTGTGACTGGGACTGCCTCTGGAAAATTTGGGTTAAAGATGAAACCTTATAAAGCTGTATTTTTAAAATCTCTTCAGTAGTGCCCAATAAACCAAACCATCAGAGAGATGCTGTCCCAGGCAGCAGCCTGGCTGTGGGTTATGCCATGGGCCCCTTTGGAGCTCCTTTGCACGTGACAGCAAGGGGAGTGAAGGAAGGCTTGTGTCTGGAAAGACTGAAGGTGAAAGTAGCTGTCCCCAGAACAGGATATTCTGGGAGCTGTAGAAACTCTCCAGCTTTTCAGGGGAATTTACTTGCATTCATTTCAGGAGCTCGACCAGTACTTCTGGGGATTTTAAGCTGTTCAGCTTTGTTTTGATTTGTGCTTGCATTGTGCTGGAGATGTGAGTGTCATTTCTGTGTGTGCAGTTTTACCTGGATCACTGCTTCCCTGCTGAGGAGAGCTGTATGGATATTTGGGAAGGAATTGCCTATTCATTCCAGTCTGTAATTATGTGAAATTACCACACTCAGTTCTTGCCTCCCAGTTCTTTCCCAGTGTGGCATGAATGGACTGCACAGATGTTTCTCCTGTGGTTGTTCTGCAGTTCTGGCTGGTTGGTTGCTTTAATAAATGTTATTCCTGGAGATAGTCTTGTATTTTTGTGTAGCTTCTTCATCGTGGGTAGCTGTTTCTGGACACAAAAGAGGTGGCCTTCCTGGCTCCCCTTTGAAAGGGGAAAGGGAGATCCCTCAGTAGTAACTGCTCAGAGCTTTGCCCAGGACTTTTGCCAGGGTAGTCTAGGCAAGAGGTGAGTAGAGGCAAACAGAGTTTTCTCTGCTCATCAGTACTGATGTTGAATAGCTTGCACACAGCTGCTGGCATTTTTTTTTCTCTACCTTCCACTGTTTTTGACAACCTTATGCCCCATGTTTTGTAAATGGCATGATACTGTGTTATTTTTTTATGCATTTTGATATTAAAGCCAAAAAATGTCCATGCTTCTGTACCAGTCTGCTCAAAGGGTAAGACCTTGCATCTTAAGAAGAAAACAATTTAGTCAGACATCATCCTCCCCTTCCTTTCCCTCTTCTACTGGTGTCTCTTTCACTTTAAAATACAAGAAGAAGTTTAATTATAGCACAATAACTTCCCTAGCATGGCTTGCTGGCACTGCTAGTGCTGTCCTTTGTTCATATGCCTCCCTTCTGCCTAGTTAGCTTTTGGCATTTGCCCTACAAGTGGCCAGAGTCAGAAACAGACTTACTGAGTCATGGAAGAAATGCTTGTTAGAATTAGCATGAAAAGAAATAGATATTGCCTCAAATATTCCTTTTTTCTTTTGTCTTTCTCCTTTTTTTCTATGTTTTATTTCTTTGTTTTTTAATGCTACACAAGCCATCCTTTGCAACTCTGAGCTTCTTGTATTCCTTTGCAGAGCTGCAACAGGAACATAATTTCAAACTTGTTTGTGTTCAGCAAAGATGCAGCATTATCTTTGTTTTTTTTGAAGAAGCGATTTGCTGCATAATTGCAGAATAGACCATTTCTTAGAATGAAATAGTAATGATAATTTCTGTGTGAAAGGTTAATTAAGCCAAGAAAACCAGTGAAATGCTATAGCAAAGAACTGTGCAGTGAGAGAGAAAATTAGGCTGCTGGTTTGAAATTGGGTATCTCAAGCTCACCACAAATGTGCCTGAGGTTATTGTAGTGACACCATGCTAAGGCTGTGAAAGTCCTGCAGTCTGGGCTGTACAGAACTCCAGAATATTTCTGGAGTTCTGGAGGTAATCAGTCATTGGCCATGGATATGATGGTTCCACAGCTTCTTGTTGTTTTTTGTAAATTGAAATCCTCATTTTCAAATTGTGACTCTTCAAGGTCACATTCATGTACCTAACTTTAAACAGGCAAGAATATCTGTTTTCTTTAGTGGAGCCTTTTACAGCAGAGAATTCTTAGCAGGTAACTTGGCAGGAGGGGAGGTTCGATGCATTTTATTTCTGGTAGTGAAACTTTCTAATAGTTTTTTTTTTTTTTAATTTCAGCCTGAATGAAGCTGAGAATGTAAGAAATCCTATTTTATATTGGAATCCCACAGCCTCTGTCTTTGTAAATTATTTTGCAGAACATACAGTGTATCCAGACAGTATATCCTAATGTGATGGGCTACAGGAGGTTAGGAGACAAGCAAGCCATTCTGAACATGAATTGCCTTTGAATTGTTTGTTTGGAAGGTTTGTCTGTCCCTCTGATGGGTCAAGGAGAACTGACTTTAGGTGGTGAGGCTATCCAAAAGCTAGTGGTGGAAATTATATTCAGATCTTGTCTGATAATCAGCAGATTTCTCCACTGTTCTTTCTGCTGTGCATGGTCACTGCCCTACCTACAAACACAGCAGCAGCATCAAAAAGATTGTGGTTTTTCTATTTTTCTTGTGGTAGGAGTTTTTACTTCTACTGAGTTTTCACACAGATACATTGGAGCAAAACACCAAGTGAAAACAGTACTTTGGCAACAGTGTGATGAGCTTAACAACATTTAGTGTCCTTTTCTGTTCCAATCAATATCTTTTCTACACATTGAAAAAATACTGGATTTGTAGTAGGAAATTCAGTAGGATAATTAAGCTGCATTTCCTGTATTGTTCCAGTTGGTATGTTTGTTGTAGTGCTGCATGATCTCAATGAACAGCTGTCATGTGTAGGTAACATGCAAAATAATTTCTTAAGTGAAGTAATGTCCCAGTGATCAGCTACAGGCTTCTGTGAAGCCTAATTTAAGACACGTAATTTATAGCAGAATGCTGTACTTCTTTAATAATTTAAGTTAGAAGTTCAAGAACAATTAATTTAAGCAGAGAAAATTGAACTCCAGCCTCATTTATAGATCTTCTTGCTCTACTAATACATTATCAGGTGGCACAATCAGTAATCTCAGCGACATAATTACCATGAAGGCTGCCATTCTGCAAACCAGACTGTTTCCCAGAAAGAAAATACTTGGGTAATTTTGCAATTATGCAATCATGGGATGTAGGTATTTTGTGAGTACAAACATGATTAAATGAATATTTTTTTTATAAAATTAAATAGCTTTCTCCCTTGGCATCTGAATTACAAGGGAGAATACCCATGAGATATGAGGTCTGGGCTAACTAATTTTTCACATGTGCAATCACTTAAGTAGCCTATTCATCAAGGAAGGGGAATATTTGTTTGGCTCCCTTGATTTCAAGAGAACCAGTACATGATGTAGTGTTTTATGTATCTGTACAAACACAAATAGGCATATTTACCTAGTGGCATATTAAAATTTTCCTTAAAATTAAATACAGTTTTCTGTATAATACATAAATTGTAGCTGCCATAGGTTTCAGACCTGTGGTGTAAATAATGCATGAGCACAGTGTGTATGTGTTTATGTTACAAATAGGAATGGACAATAATTCCAGCAGACTTTAATGAATCCTCCAGTTAGCAGGAACTGATGTACTGCTTTCTTTTGCAGCTCCGGAAAGCCATTATAGATCACATCTCAGACTCCTTCTTAGACACCACTGTTCCACTGCTAGTTCTCATTGAAGCTGCTAAAAATGGAAGAGAGAAAGAAATAAAGGAATATGCTGCTATATTTCGAGAACATACCAGCAGGCTTGTGGAGGTATGTTTGACGGAATTGCACTTGTTTGAAATATATGGTGTGAATTGCCACTGAACACTCCCTTTGCTGGCAGATATCAAAAAATGTTTAAGGCTGGCATTTCAGGAAAGAATAAATAAGTGGCCTTGTGTAATAGTAGATGTACTCCATTTACTTATAATGGTATGTAGTGAGACAGAGGGCTTTGTCCTTGCATAGCACTTTATTGCACAGAAATTAGATGGTGAGGAATTGTAATTTAAGAAATCAGTGTAAGCCTTTCCACCAAGGTGTTCAGTAGGAACTTGACTAAATGTGTGTTTCTGGGAGTGTTAGCTTGCAGTGTTCAGGATCCTGCTGCCTGAAGTACAGGAGGCACTGTGTTAGTCCCAGTTGTTTGCCATCTTTCTGCCTTCGAAAATCCGTGACCTGTGCAGTGATCTGAAGGGGAAATGGGGCTCTGACCCAGCTTAGAGCCAGGAGCTTGCTGCACAGTCATTGAATATTCCAGGTTGGAAAGGACCCTGAGGAATCTCCGAGCCTAGCTCCTGCCTGTATGCTAAATGAATCCTCTGCATACATTGGAGACTCAGTATTCATTTCTAAAGGATCTCCTTCCTCATGGCTTATAAATGATACTTCTTCAGCACTAAGAGATTTGCAAATACAACTGGGGGGCAATTTTTGTTTGTTGGACAATCAGTCCTGCAAACGTGACTAAATATACACTGACCTAAACTCATTTGAACAGGAGCTTGGAACACTGCTGGAATACTAAAGTCAAAAGTTCACAGCAGCATCATCTCAAGTGCCTGGAAGGAACACATTAGTAAATTTTGGGGTTTTTTTAGCTTTTGGTGCTTTTGTGTGGAGTAATGCAAAAATGGGGAAAAAAATCAATGAATTCATTCTGCAGCTGAAAATTTACTTAGGAAAACTATTTGGCTCAGAATTAATAATTAATCTTGAGTGACCTAGAGATAATGGAAGTAAAATAGGTAAAGAGCTAAAGTTAAAATAGGTTATTGCATTTACGTTTCTCTTCATGGTCATGTGATTACAGAATAAGAAAAGTTGTTATTCTTTGATTTACAAGAGTATCTAATTTTGACTGTGCTGCAAAATCAAATGACAGCTGAAACACAAACTTGAATTTGCAGTCTTTTCTGATTTTTAATACTGATGCTAAACCATCTTGAAGTGACTTAATTTTTAGAAAGAACAGGTGATCACTGAAGACAAATAACTTGACTGAATTTCTGAGTCCAGCTGAAATACCCAAATCATGATTCATTTTAGAAGACCTAAGCTTAAAATCCAGTATTTGTTTTCTTTCATGGGTTTGAATTTGTGTCCCAAATGCAAGAACTAGCTGGCCATGAGTGTGGGTGTGTGATTAGAGAGGCTGATGGCTGCACAGATTCACTGCCTGAAAACTCCACAGCTTGATCTTGCTGCAAGTGTGAATACAGTGTATGTGTACGTATTTATATTTATTCTGTGACTCAATGTGCTGCCTACAGTGAAGAAAACTTACTTCTAAAGAGAGATTGTACACAGTGCCACCTCCTATTGTTGAATTAGTTGTTCCAAATGTCAGTTTAGTGGGGATTATGTCGTGGGCTGCTATTCAAATTAACTGCAATTTGACTTTATGTTATCGTCTGGATATCTAGTAGAAGTAAGTATCTTAAAAGTTGCTTACATTGGTTTAATGCCCTTACCAGTATCTCTAAGCAAGAGCTTGATTGATGGCTTTTTGATAACCTGTATTTATCAACTGATAAACTCTCCAGCAAATTAATTAGGTAGTAGTTGTACTGCATCCATCAACTGTGAGCCTATTTGAGGTAAAACAGAAAAAAAATGAAAAAAACCTATCAGCTAAGCAAGTGGCCACAAAAAGGCTTTGGGGAGATTAACAGATTTATCTCATTTTTAAGAAAAGTTCAGTCATTTCCGACAGCATCATGTAAGTGAGAGAAATGTAGCAGCTTTTTGGGGGAATGTGTAATACCAAATAAATTTATGTAAATTTAATAACTTTTAAATTACATTAGAGTAGTTACTATAGCAGTTCCAGCTGGAAGCATATTTGAGTTTTAGTGGCCACTACAGTGGCCTAAACCATGTTAAGCTCAGAATATATGTTTTTTTAAATTGATATAGTGGGGCACTGCACTCTTGCTTTCTCAAGGAAAATAGTGTAGGTAGTATAGGATCTGAGTAGCTGTGGTTTTCATACTTAAACATGCACATACTTCAGAACTGAGACGCAGCCAAGGTGCTTGGAGCTTGGTTTCCAGCTGGACACGGGGCCATGGATAATGCATGCACGTGCTGTAGAAGTCAGGTCTAGCTAAAAGTGCTGCCCAAATCAGGGAGCCTGAAGGGCAGGACAGATCAAGAGGAGATAAGTTGTGTTTGGATCCTTGCTATTTCTATTATCTTTATTTAAAACAGAAATGATGTTTCTTGGTGAAAATTCTAATGTATAAACATCACTTGTCCCCTTTGGGACAGGTGCCCAGCCTTTAGCCAGGGAAGTGTTCCATAGAGTGGTGTCGTCAGCTCTCTGTAAGATTTGGGGTTGGATGACAGATGAATTCAAGATCCAATCCAGTATAAAATTCCCATAACTTAGGAGGAAGTTGCCAAGCATTATTGTATTTTATTAGGGGGTTCTTAAATGAGAGGTATGATCTCCATGTTTGCAGGGGAGGTCTCACATTCTTTCCTTGGTTGTTTATTTCCTGCACTGGTACAAGCACCATCAAACAAATTCCCTTACAACTTGGATGTTATTGAATACGACTCCAAAAGCCAGTCATTTCTGCTATTGCAGAAATGGGCTTCATCTCTGCTACTGAAAATAAATTTAAGTATTGAAATGCCAGAGCATGCGTGGCATGTACCTGGCTGTGGAATATTAAGAGATCATAGGTGTAGCTAAAACATTTTCAAAGCTAAACAACTAAGAAAAATGTTGCAAAAAAAGGCACAGAACAGTAACTGTACCAGAGAAGGCTGGTGGTGAGGGAGATGAGACATCAGGCTTTTGAAATACAACTGCGAAAGCAGTTTTACCATCTGGGTGTAGTTGTGACCTCCAGGGAGTTGGGTGGCTTGGGGCACCAGGTGATAGAGCAAAGGCCAGTGATGCAGGCAAGACTGTGCATATTGTTAAATACACAATACCTTGTTTGGCAGATTAAAAAAGGGTGGTTTTTTCTTTTGTCAGCCACAAGTAGCCTTTGTGGGGCAGAGCTGTTGCAAGCTTTGAGAGGTGAAAACCAGCTCAGGTGCTGGCAATCCCTAGGTTTTGTCTAGGGGAGCAAAAGCTAAGGAAGAAACCTATTTGCATTCTCAGTGTGCTTTGTTTCTGATTGTAAAGCACTCCAGGTGTGGGTCTGAGCCCACTGTAAACCTCTGACATCTTGAGCATCTTGTGCTAAAGACTTTCACACCCTGACTATCCCCACATACGACCTTTTCTTTTGCTGTCTATGGATTCTGCTATCATAAGAGAAAATGAACACCAGTCCCTAATTTCTTTCTCCATGCCACTTATTCTTTAAATTTTTTATTGTTTTCAAAGTATTTCTGGTCTTTAAAAAATGTCCTTATTTGGAGCCACAAAAGGATCTGCTTGCTCCCTTCCCTGTACCTTTTCCAGCACCTTGCAGCCCATGAGGTGGGAGCTAATCAATACACCCAAGACATTTCATAGAATCACAGGAACTGTTGGTTACTTTCTCACGAAATTACTCACTTTTAATCTCTCTAGACTGAATTTCATCGCTGTTACCATTTAGTCATCTAGTACCATTGCATCCTTTTGCAAATCTTCGTTAGTTATTTTATTTACTGCTCCAAATAACTTGTTAAAATATGTGTAAACAAAATTTATAAAAAGTTAATGCAGATACTGCAGAAATTTCTGGCTCACAGCTTTCTCCCAATTTCCTGCTGATTTATTCCTGAGGCTGAAACAAGTGATGCTAATCTGTCTGAATCACCCGGGAATTTGCTGGTTATTCAGCCAACCCTAATCCTTGGAAGAGTCTGGCATCCACATTCCTGGATCTCATACACAATACAATCAGTAGTCCAGATCTTTCATTCTTCCACTGCTTTCATGTATGAAAACAGAGCTGTCCGTTCCTGTTTATTTTAACATTGCTCTTCTAAAAGATATTTATAGCATAAGGAAGATTTATGACTATTTCCTTTTCATTTAAAAAAGGTAACTTGTTGCACTTGAAGATATATGCTGTGAAATTACCTGTGTAATGAAAAGTTTCATTCTCTCCAAATTCAGGAAAAAGTGTTTTAAGAGATGTAGGTTTTCCTGAATCCAATAATGAGTTCAACTTCAGTGAGTCTCCTCTTAAAAAGAGCAGTGTCTCAGCTCTATCCTGTCAGGCAGTGTTCCAGCTGAACATGTTGCACACACTTGCCAGGCTTCAGAGCAGTTGTTGAGCTGGACCGATGATGTTAGTGTGGGTTAGCACGAATGTTGAATTTGATATTAGTAATTTGAAAGTGAAGGCAGAACAACATGTCAAGAGAGAGGATATTGCATTCTCAAAATAATCAGCAAGCAATAATTTGAATCAGCACAGTGGTATTGCCTACTCTCATATATCCTTTGTTAATGTTGTTCTGTGGCTCAGTTATAAATATGCTGTTGTTGCCATATTGATTAAACCATCAGTGTTTAATTTTTCTGTCACAATATTTCACTTGATTGCAGAAATTTATGAAATAAGTTTCTGAATCTGGACCACAAAGACCTGTGTATCTGTGTAGACAGATCTCCAGCCACATAAGTATGGATTTTATTATTGCAGCCAGCAAGTCCAGTGGTGATAGTAACAAAATGATTTGATGTCACAGTGTTACATCTAATATCTACATGTTTCATGGAGCGGTTGTTGGAGACAGGGACAGCACACACCCCGAAGTCCATGTGGCAGAGGAGGGAGTTCATTGTCTGAGCACTGGTTCATAGGAGGAGG